GTTATAGAAATGTAGATTTACGCTATCCACCCTCTCCCTTATGTTACCGAGAAGTAGTAGGCCCCAACTATCTGCTACGTATCTCAAATTAATATACTGTTTGAATTTTCTGATACGGGATTCTATGAATAATAACATTCTATTTATACTTTCTTTTCGTGTATTTCTATTTATATTATCGTTAAGGCTCTCCAGTAGTTCACTTATATATTATTAGCGACTCACCCTCGCTCCGCTCGTGTTCGTTCATTCGTTTTCTAAACTAATAGATTCGGCCTCTGTATCGATAATAATGGCTATTTCTATAAGATTTTCCAAAAAATATTTAATGTACAGATTCGAATCAGCTAGAATTTTATTGCTATCGACCCTAGGTGCCCTTGGAATTTATAATATTATCGAAGTTTTTTCCAACTTAATCCAAAAACATCATTCATACCGGTAGCTTATTTTCACAATATAGTCACCTACCAAGAGAACCTTTCTTTCTATTATTGAAAATGCTATCAAAACGTGTACAGAAGTTTCTAAGATTAGCCAGAATAAACACTTAGCGACGGGGGTACTTCACGAATATATTATATTTATTACTATAGTGATATACGATATTATTCTAGAGGCCTTGCCCTCAGTATTGTAGCATAATTAATATGACTCATGTCCTCGTATCGAGCTTTTAGTTAGCATTAAACATTTGCCTGGAAACAATTATGTATTTTATTACTTGACTTCTGAATAAAGTGGTACTTGAAATATAAACGTGTACTACAATTTTCGTAATATAAAAACGAAATTTGTGGGTATATATGTATGTATGTATGTACTTTACGCCATATCTTCGCTAATTGTAAATAGATTTTTATAATTTGTTTTTTTTATGTATTCATAAGATTTACTTCAAAAGTAGTAGCCATAGAAAATTCCAGGAAAAAATCTACCGTTAAGGATGGAAAATTTTCTTTTTAAATATATTAAAGCAGTGTACCTACCAGTTTCCTTAAAAAGTATGATTATTTAAGCCACTAATTAACCAAATTAATTTTAATACTTATTAAAGTGATTTTGATAATTATATTTATAAAGACTTTGAAAAGTGGAAGATTGAGCAAAACGGCGATTTGTTATTTAGCTACATTAGATACGATCACGCGTTCTTACGTTATTTTCCCATAGGCATAAGGAATATTTTTGTAGTTAAAGTATATTTATGATTAACCCTTTTTTTTAACGTTGTACTATGATTAACCCTTTTTTTTAACGTTGGGAAATTAAAAAATAACATTTATCCATACCACGTGCATACATATAGGTGGTTATGTGTCACCTATATGTACATACAGGTATATGTTAAAGCCAGTACTACCCACTAAAACCTAACGAAACCCTGTCTTAATGGGGTGTCGGAGGATCGCTTATGCACTCAACCACGACGCCCCAACGGCAGGTCTGCCGAAGCAGACCACAACAACCATGGGGTTGCTTCAACAGTCTACTCTGCTAACAGAGAAGTACCAGGAGCAACCCGCATGACACACCGCCCACCGAGGTGGGCCTCCTCCCTGTGCGTTTCTTGGCTTCGCGCTCGACTAAACTGCCGGACGTTAATGAGCCTCCCCACCACGACAAGGTTTAATGCTTTATAATAATATATTGTAATAACAGATTTTTTCTACTTTGACTGGACAATTCCATTAATTATTCAATAAAATAACTAAAAAGTGTTACGCTAAGTGGGTATAGCTTCATATTTTTCCATCTAAAAGCGAGTGTCTATTTATTTTTCATTTAAAGTAGAACAGTCCAATGTACTATGCATGTGCATATCATTTGGTAGCGTAATCTGTATTTTATTTATGCAAATCTCTTCCTGTGTTGTGTCGATAAACGAAATGCATCTCAAATGCTAAGTGAGTGGAGTAGTTTCGAATACTTTTACGTAGTTATGCACATTTCGAAATATAAAACTAACTACTTAGCTAAAGAATTCAGTTTTATAAATTATGTTTTTATTTTTTTAAATCTTCTATACCTATAATAAAAGTGTAACTGATCGCTGTCTGTATATGGAAGATATTTGAGAAAAACTGTCATTGTGGGTCTTTATTTACGCAATAGAACAAAAAAATGACTTATAGAATTTTTCTCTGTTTATCTGCGCGCTAATCTCAGAACCGGCTTAACCGATTTGGATGCGGTTTTCACCAACATATTTTGGTAAGCTTCACTTAACATTTACTATTTGTTTTATTTCCATCGGTTCATAAATAAAAAAGTTACGTCAATTTAACGAATCACCTACCTATCGATTTTACTTTTACTTACTGCGTCTGAAAAGAAGTAGGTATGTTGCGAATTCGTTAAATATTAGCGGATCTAATATGCAGATATTGTGCTAACTACAGATCTCTTTTAGAAATAAAAAAAATCACAAGTACACAAAAACCGAAATCTGTCAAGACACAATACATGACTACCATAATTTTATATATAAAGATTAATTGCTGAAAACAAATCATATATTAAAAAAAATGTCTATTTGTGGTCTTCTGATTAATAAAAGTATTAAGCCTTTACACTAATATTAGTTAAGTTATATATTCTTGTATATTGTATTTTTATTTTTGGTGTAATAAAGGATTAATAAATAAATAAGTTTTTCCACTGTCGCCCAACTGACAGATTACGCAGAGCCTTGACTAACGGGGCTGGAAAAACTTTGCACAAGAATTCCTTATACCTTGAATGTTAATAAGTAGTAAAAGTATTTTTAATAATAATTCATTAATTAAAAGGATTACGGGATACGCAAGTACTAATGATGGACCGAAGATTCCGTTTCGATTTCAGCTGAAACCAAGACCGAGGGCGCAGATTCGGTTTCGGTTTCGGCTGCAAATCCTATTTCGATCGAATACTATTAAGTACAAAATATAATTTATTTTCTTACTAAAAATAATCGGTAAAAAATATAAGTACTTAAACCTTATAATCGGGATAAAATTTGCTATTTCAATATCGTAGCTTCATTATTGGAACGATAAATACCAGTACGATTGCGATATTAAAGCAGAAATAGAAGAAAGCTTACGGTAGGTAATTAGAGCTGCTGTAAGAAAACCGCACGTAGCAGGTTTATCTGTACAATTACGAGCAAAAGAAGGACTCATAATATAGTTAATATTTCTAATACATAATAACTGGTTGGCACAGTGCTTAGCTTTTGTACTATGGTAGAGTTCGTGGGTTCTATTATAGGGTGAAGCAAATAGTTTATTTAAGATTTGATGAAAGTTATACTGATTATACGTTACATTATCAGACTAAAATTCTGTGAAATAATAATCAAATTTTGATAATATTTTAACAAATCTGTAGTCCTGAGCTTATTAAAATGACGCTCCTAAATAACAAGGAAATATAAAAAGAAAACTCTTTTAAATCATGCAAAGCCGAGCGCGAAAGCTAATAATACATAAAGCTTCAAAAGCTTCTATCCACACATGATTCCAGCCTTCAGTGTACACATTACTATAAGTTTTTCTCTTATCTTACGCTTAGAACGGTAACGAGGCCTGAAACTTTCGCCTGGATACCCTCGTTAAGGCTCTCAAACATTTGTTACTTATAGTTTCACTAAACGAATTTTGCTTATATTTTTAATGGGTCACTCGTGTATCGCTCAAGGGCGAATTTATTCGACGTTTATTTGACTTTATAGTACTACCTCATTAGCGATATTGCTTTCTGACCTTAGCTCTATTTTTACTTATTAATTAATTTGTCCTTAGCTCTACATAGAAAAAGGTATATCTTGATTAATGTAGAGTTTTGTTGTTTGAATATTATGGTAATATTGTTACAATATTAGACGAAAGTCTTTGTGATAGCTGACAAGTCGTTAATTTAGTTTCATGAATGTTTCAGTGCGATGAAATAATTATATATGTCTGAAACATGATTTTTTTTGTATTCCGGTTAGTAAGTATTTAATCTGAATCTTCAGAAAATATAATATTTTAAATATATTCTATGCATCTCTTAGTAACTTTTTTCAATGAACATACATACAATGTATATAAACATATGTATAGCAACATAACAAAAAAATAAAAACCGACTTCAAACAAAAGCACTAAAAAGTAAAAAATAACTAATTGGTAGTTTTCATTTACAATACATACCTAATCAAATATTTTTAAGTCGGTGTATATATATACGAGTATATCCAAAAGAACATTTATACATTTAAAAAATTAAAATATGTATGTAAAATTATAGCGAAATAATTTTAAGGTAAGACGTCTCGTGTGGACCTTTCGCCACTGGTAGATAGTATATGTATATATATTATGTATAAATGTATATGTGTACGTCAACATTGATGTATTCTAGTGTACTGCTTACTTTGCAAAGCAAAATAGCCCATAACAACTACGAGTAATTTCATATCAATTAGACCGCACTAGATAGAAAGTGGGTACAATGTAAAGATTATAATTGAGAATGTAACAGAATATAGGAATTCGTATTCCCACGGGTGCGGCGAACTGTTCCTAAACAGGAATGAACTCCAATCTAGTCGTCGGAAGAACTTTTGAAAACGCTAACGATCGACAGATTGAGCGTGATATTCCATTTGTGTCGACACACTCGCAAAGTAATATATTAAATAGTATGGTTTTGTGAACCATTGTTTTATTATTGGTTATTAAAATTTGGTTGTTAATTTGTATGTGAATTGAACTGATTTTTAAAATTATTACTTTTTAATCTATACTTTAAATTATGAGTTATTTTTGCCAATTAAGACCAATAAATATTTACTATAGCAAATATTAAGATCGGTCCCAAGATATCTTAGAGTTGGATTTTCAATAGAAGTTTTGATTAAGTGAATCAGTTAATTGTAAATACATTATAAAGTATTAATTGCTTTTTAAATGTTATTTTTTGCTTATTTTCTTTTATCATATAATCGACCAAAGGCTTAAAAGAGAAATATGGTTTCTGGAGATAGTAATGATATAAGATTAGACATAGTATGTAATGTTTCATATTATATACTAGACATATATATGTAAATTTACATATTATTAATAATTCTTCGTTAAATATAAATTAAGTGTATTTTAATATATATTATTATTCTAATATTTCCGACACACGAAGCGTACAGTGGACAAGCGCGTACATCGTGAGCTCCCAGTAAGCGAAGTGCAATTGGCCGGCCATCGAACTTATGGAAACGCTGGCCAACGCTTAGTTTTTACTATAGCTTACAATACCTAGTTATCTCGAAGGATTTTGTTTTGCTTTAGGATCTAATAGTTAATACATAGTTGTTGTTTTGTTTAACGCTTTGATTAAAATAAAGTTCTTTTATCAACCGACTTCTTCAAAAAGGAGGTTCTTAATTCGGCTGTATTTTTGTTTATGTTTGCTATCTCCGAACTCCGTCATTTATTAACCGTTTTGGACAATTTTTGTTTTAAAGTGTAAACTTTCAATTTGGTTCCATTTAAACTTGAAAAAAATACCACACCTAAGGGTCGAAAAATAGCTAATGAAATTTTTCCCGACACACAAAGCACACCGACTTCGAAAATATAATATGATTAGGTATCTATAGTAAATGAAATCTACCAATCAATTCTTTTTTATTTTTTAGTGTTTTTTTGAAGTCGGTTTAATTTTTTATTAAAAACTTTTCATTATATTGCCTTTTATGGGCAACAGTTTGTTATATTCAACCAAGCAAATATTTGTACGATAATACAAAATTAGCCTTAAGCGAAAATTGAACTCGTGCTCTACGTTTTAGTACATTAAGGCTATAGGGTAAAAGCAATATTATACTCTATACTCAAACATTTTTAAATAAGATATGTATAGTTTTGATAAGCTCTTTTTCTATATAGTAACAAAAATATATGATCTGAATAGCATGCTATTTTCTAAATCAGGGTCTCCCAACCTTTCTTCTATTGAGCCTCTCCGGATTACAAAAAATATTTTCATGCCCCCCTTTATTTTTTTATTATAATTAATAAAAAAGTAAAGAAATAACTACTGCTAAAAATGCGAAATACGAGTGTGTGTGTCTATATGTTTGATTCTTCTTCATCATGAACAATTAGACGGGTTAAGTACACAGATATACTAAGACCTGGAATAAGACATATGGTACTGTTAGGCTCATAACGACGCACCCGAGCAAAGCGAGATAAATCACTAGTTAAAAACAACCATAAACACAATGTTTGTGCTTAACTCAGTAATATAAAAACTAGGCGCTCTATTTCAAGCTTCGTATTACATTATATATGATTTATTAGTCTAATTGCCCAACTTTGTAAAGTTTGCGATGAACCAACAGGACGTTCCGACCTCAATGTGTTTGCGACAACTTTGATAATAAAATATTTCGTGTAGTTTATAAAAATAGTATAGTGCTTCTACTCCTTTTCTACATTTTATCGGAGTTTAAAATTGCTTGGAGGTTTATAAGACTTTTTCGATTTTTTATCTTTATAAATATACTATATTTAATATTCGAGTCTCGACAGTCTTAAAAACGTTCTCGAATGATAAAATTAATATACTCGTAATATATAAATATCTCGTTTCACTGTGTTTGTGGTTGCACTCCTCCGAAACGGCTCGACCGATTTTAATGAATCCTTTTTTGTATATTTGGTAGGTATGAGAATAGGTCGTAAAGTATTTTCACCCTCCTACCCCCACCCCCCATTTTTTAATCTCGATTTTAGTATTTTTGTATGAACAATATTATATACATACATAGTAAGAGTATATCCCTGTATTACAACATACATAAAGCCAAAGAGTCTTTTGTAGATTGAACGCGGGCGTAGCCGCGGGTTCTGCTAGTTATTATATGTTATTATTTATTGATATACAATTATTTCGTACATTTTCTATATGTTTCGTAAATGTTTTTAATAACAGCATTATCTACACCCCAAATGTTCTATTCTATTAAATTTTCCACATTATTACCAAACAATGGGATGTATTAACAGAATATTTATACCTTGCCCCTATTATTATAGATTGCCCATACAAGGGGCCAATAATCAGGGTGGAAAAAGTGCATTCTCACCGAGTGAATGTTGATAATAACCATTAGGGCCTCGTTCACGCACCGTGACGTATAAAAATACATTTATAGTGAACATATTGTGCTCGTAACTGTACCGGTACTAGGGTGACCCGACGATTTGCTATTATGTTTACCCGACTGTGGCAAAGCCGAAAGGAGGGTTATGTTTTTGACCTGTATATTATACATATATATGTATGGTATGTATGTCCGATCCTATAATTGCTAAACGGTTCCCTCGTAATTACTAAACGGCTTATTAACAGATTTTGATTCGAGTCATGCTACGTGTTTGTATGTATGTCTGTATAATAATATGTTCCTACTTCAACTTTTTGAAGTTCTCAAGTTCTCAAAGTTTTCTCGCGGCTCCACCCACGTCCTTTTAATTTTATAGAATTACTCCGTTGCCATAGATTATAGTGTAAGATAGCCTATATATGCTATACCTTGCTCAATAAATAGACTATAAAAAACAAAAAGAATTTGTCAAATTGGACTAGTACCTATATTCACAGAATAACGCCTTCAAACAAACAAAAAAACAAACTAATCAGCTTAATATATAAGTATAGATTTTTTTATTTATATATAATATCAAGAAAGATATTCTCCACTCATTTATCTTAACGGTCATTTACACAAAGGTAATGATACTGTCATATCATATCTCAAACTTACCCAAAGTACCCATGATATGGTTACCCTCGTCCAGAGTAATGTTCCGAATAATATTAGAGAGGGTAATCAGAAACAAAGGGAATAGTAATTTCCCGAATATAATCTTAAAGACTGCACGCGACCTCTTTACATCGAGCAATGAGATAATTGATTGCTGTAAATTTAACGTGAACTCCTTAATTGAGAATGCCTTTGAAGTTGACAATATTTACGGGTCATTTTTGATTAAAGGGAATGAATGGATTTGATGAAATTTTAATTAATTTTGTAATATGGCATGTATCGTTTCGAATTTTGGGAACAGATTCGATTCTTACATGTGTCAATTTAATTTCATTTTCATTTACAGTGTATTGATTGGTGACATTTCCTAAAGTCGATTTGATTTTTTTTTTTGCAAAACGAATCAGGTGTAATTGAAGTTTGAATTGTTGTATCTTACGATTGGTTAAATTATTCTATTTTTTTTAAATATATTTGATTTTTGCTCATATGTAGGATAATCTCTAGAAGGATCTTTTATAATTATTAAGCGGAAAAAATAAAAATTATAATAATATTATAAAACTAGCGTCTGACCCTCGCCGCGCTCAGGTGCGTTCACACTGAGACTAGCTAATGCAGGAGATATTATAGTGCACAAGTATACGCGCAGATACAACGTGCTTTCTCTATTCTTGTCACTCTCATAGAGTGGGACAACGATTCCACACGACCAAAGAGAGCAGGTGCAGAAATAACGGCTTTACAAGCTCTCCGAGACACGGAGGTAAACACAGCCAACTCCCGGATGTTACTGAGACTTTCTAAACAGAAAGATTTATTAACTAAACTTGGCCTCACCCAGGATTCGAACCCAGGCCCTTCGAATCTGCAGCCATGCAAGCCACCAGACCATCGAGGCAGTAATTACCATAGTTTTGCAATAATAATAGTATTCCAATAATATATTGTAAATTATTATTATTTTTCCAGGGAAAAGCGAAACGGGAGCAATCATTGAAAGAACTTAAAGATCACATACACAAGTACTACATTCCACTCGGAAGGCAGTTCATGGTTCTGTTTCCTGAAGGAGGGTTCTTACATAAAAGAAGAGAAGTCAGTCAAAGGTAATATTTTATTAATAACTAGCATTGCCCGCGGCCGACCAAAAACCAAATTCTTAGGTTTTACATATTAGTATACTCTTACAATGCAGTTTTTGTATTTTTTTATCAGAAATGGGATATTTTCCCGCGGTAAAAAGTATTCTATATGTTGACCCGGATAACCAGCTACCATCATACCAAATTTCATCATAATCTGTCCAGTGGTTTTTCCGTGATGCGGTAACAGACAGACAGACGGACGGACGGATGGACGGACGGACGAACGGACGGACAGACAGACAAAAATTCTAAAAACTATAGATTCGGACCCTGTATCGATAATAATGTCTATTTAAATAAGATTTTCCAAAAAATATTTAATGTACAGATTCGACTCAGAATTTTATTATATGTATAGAGTTAATTCTGCATTTCTGACTTTATTGTCGTTGCTTAGAATTTGCTAAGTACCTATATATAAATAGGCAAAGACAAAATAAATCAGTACCTTTTTCTCCTATGTTTGTAAACGGATTTTCTTTTTTTTGATTTAGTAGCTATTGATGAGCTTTTGTTCTATCAATAATAAAAACTTAGATACAGTTAGCATTTTTTTATATAAATAGAAAACTTTTAATTATGTTTTCCTCAAACTTTCGATGATTATGTTGTTACCAATTTTTACCATTAGGCGAATACTAGTACCTATAAAATAATGTTGGCTAGGAAAAAATACATATATTAGAACCCAACAAATTATCGATACAGAGGCCGAATCTTTAGTTTTTAGAATTTTTATCTATCTGTCTGGGAATGCATCACGAGAAAACTACTGGACAGATTCTGATGTAATTTGGTATGATGATAGCTGGTTATCCGGGTCAACATATAGAATACCCGAAGTAAAACTTCGGAAAAAATATGTCATCTCCGGGAAACTTATACTAAACATAAATTGAGTCATAATATAATTAGTTTAGCTAGGATATTAAAATATAAGAACTCTGTTCAAGAAACTTGAAATATATTTAAAAAATATATGTACTTTCTAGTTTTTTCAACGTATTTATAAATATCTTTAGTATTCGTTTGAAACAAACATTTATTAAAATTGAAGCTTATGTTGTTAGCGATACTTCTTTCGAGCATTCCGTAGACAAATCGTAGGCACTCTAGAATAACGAGCTCCGGCCTCCATTAAATTGGTACTTGTAGGATCTTAGAATAGCTCATACGAAATGGCATCGTGTAAGATTTCATTAAGAAAACTTGTTTGAATAATTGTTTGATCGTATTTTTTATATTACTTATACTCGTAGCAACTTACCAACTTACGTATACAACTTACGTATATACTTTGATGTAGTATACATATGTATATATTTGATACTTTTGAAGTACTCGTATTTGGATATTAAAATCAGACACTTTAATTTTATTTAGATATATAGAAACAATTAGCTTGGTATCTCCTATCTCGTATGATGTAACTAGTGTACTAGAGTACTTGCTTCGCTCGAGTACGTCCATAAGTGCCTACGAATGGCCCTCATGTATACTACTCTAGTCTGTCTATATACTAAAATTTCATTCAAATATGAAGTTCCTGCCGTATCAGAGTAAAGGAGTAACAGACGTACACACACACACATGCTATACAAATGTTTGTATTTTTCTTATTAAAGTCTAATACTCGTAAAGCTACCTTACAGAGAGCGCCAAAGACGAGTAATAACCATAATTTCTAAAAGTTATAGGTACATATTTTCAAAGTTTTTACTTATCTCTTACAGTTTTTTGCACCATAATTGCACATTCCAATTCATATATGTACATGCCATTTCCAATACGTATATATTCTATGGTGTAAATAATGATTTGAAATAAAATACGGGTATCGGCCATTCGGTAGCAAGCGATATATGGCGAATGAAAGGCTTTACAATGGCATCGCATGAAATTGGTTATTATGAAAGTTTCAATTTATTGATACATTTGTTTTATGAACGATGTATATTTTGTGCAAAGGTCAACGTCGATGATTGATATATATTTTTAAATATTTTAATTGAAATTGCTATTATTACTGAAATTTTGTGTTTAAGTTTCAAAAATTATGCTTGAATGTTTATTATTAAGTACTGTTAGCATTGTTTACTATGACATAAGAGGGGGTTCGATTATCGAGTGTTTACTATATATAATGTTTATTCTGATTAAGTCAAGTTAAGTCGTGGTGTTAGCTTGTGTGAGGCATATTTCTTCTAAATGATGAACAGATAGACAAAATCTATGTATCATATTCATTTTGCATAATTGTAAGAAAGTACCTAGTGTCTTCTCAAAAATCAAATTAATAGGGAAGAATATTAATTAACGCATATGCAACCACATAAGCCTTAACTCATATCGCGTTCAAAATGGATAGGATTTTTTTTTAATTTAAATGCATAAATTGAAAAAATAGGTCTCAAGGGACCAATTAATATAAAAAAATGATATCGAATAACAAACCCACAAAAAACATTGTTACTCTTAGTTCTATAAACTACGAATATCTCCATACTTTGTTGTCGGTTGTCGTCATTTTACATCTATTTTTTTAACTATACATATAATCGAAGAGTCGAATCTGTGTATTGAATATTTTTTAGAAAATCTTGAAATAGTCATTATTATCGATACAAAGGCCGAATCTATAATTTTAAGAATTTTTGTCTATCTGTCTGAGAACGCATCACGAGAAAATCACTAAATGGATATTAGTGTTTGGTATGATGATAGCTGGTTATCCGGGTCAACATATAGGATACTTTTTACATCGGGAAAATATCTCATCTCTGAGAAATCTACATTAAATGTTAAAACGTAAGTAACTCGAGCGGAAAGAGTCGCTAGTTAAGAATATGAGATATTCACAAAAGAAAAATAATATTTGTATATCTTCATCTCTAGGTTTGCTGAAAAAAATAATCTACCGAAGTTAGAATACGTATCACTACCTCGCGCTGGTGCCATGAAAATTATTATGGAAGAAGTCGGTCCTCACACTGGCCAAACAAGCACATCCAAACAAGTTAACAAAAAAGGTAATATAAATAAGATATTTATAAATCGCATGCTGAGGAAGTCCTCACTCCTCACTTAGATATGTTCTAAAGTTTTTATCGATAATAAATAACTCAAAAATATATGGGAGTAATTATTCTACTCGTTATGGGTCAGAAGACAATGGGACATTTATTATATTTTTATTAGTTTTTTCCATGACTCTGCAAAGACATGGTAAGCGGGGTGGAGTTTAAAGATTTGATTTGATTACGTAACAAATAGATAGAGTTATTTTCTCACCGAGTATTTATGAAATGAGATTTTAGTACCGATTCATATAATTTTATATGACTGGGCACTTTTTTTTCCATGTGGTATATAAATATTAAACATGAACTCCGCTTTGTAAAAACCATAGCTTACGGTTTAAGTCTTGAATTACGGAACCTGAAGATCTACTGAACCGACTAAAAATAACCTACATACATATATTTCAACGAAATATTCTAAACTCATGCTGCATTTGGAATGTTTCACTGTTGTTTTTTTTTTCATTGTTAGAGAGAAGGTCATTCATGCGTTCAATTTTTCTTTCATATATTATTAATATTAAAGAAAAAGAATTAATATGGGTTAATATGAAAAAACTTTACATGCGAATTGCATATTGCTTTGAAGTGTGATACTGATGCACATTAAATTTTTTTTCTTCATTTTCCTTTGATTTTTTAAAATTATGACCAATAATATTTTCTTAAGAATGATAGACCTATATAAATAATTATGCTGGGACATTAACACACAGCACCATCTAGTTCGGTGGTAAGCTACGAGGCTTGTGTTATGGATACCCGATAGTTGATGCTCTACACATATATACCTTTTTAATATATACATATTGTAAATATAAATATAAACACTGAAAATGAATGCCTCCAGCGGAACTCGAACCCGCGACCGCTGGCACAGCAACTAGGATCACTACAAACTGAGCCAAAAGTGTAGTCAAAATATACATAAATATATATAAATATCTCTTTTATACAGATGACTTCAACCAAAACAACACCAAAATAATCGATACAAACAGCGGGGACAGTATCGAATGGATTCTAGATGTCACTATCGCGTATCCCGATCGCATCCCACTACATTTGCAAGACATAGTGTGTGGTACGAGGGAGCCGTGCACTACACATCTCCACTACAGACTATATGCCAGCAACGAGGTGAGTGGTTCGAACTATTATAAACTAGTTTTCGCCCGCAACATTTGTTAAAGCGACCAATACTTATTGTACTTTACAGTAAAGTTGTTTCTTCCTTTTTTTAAACAAAGCTTTAATTTTTCTAAGATAAATATACATTATAAATATATAGATAAATTACATACATATATTTATTATAAAGTAAAATATATATTTAATACCAATAGAATTGACCTTTAAAAGTCAATAATTCTGTATTAAAAACTCTTTCGGTAAATTAAAATAAAACTCTAACTTTAAGAATCAATCTAAATTATCATGAAACACATGATTTTTTTAAAAAATTGTGGAAATTATGACATGCAATTTTGAATCGTTTTAATTTTTCGTTGTCCAACTGTCAATCTTTTAAAGCACTGTACAACTTGAAATTTGGTGAAAAAGAAAAGATTCGTTTGCAGTCAATTTATGGTCAGAGGAAAGTAGGTCGACTTTCAAAAACAAAGTACTTTAAAAAACCCTCACAAAATGTATAGAAATAAAGAACCTCTACCGAACCATGTCTAAAAAGGGGCAATATAGGTCTTGGCAACGTTTCCATTTGGAAATACGCCAAAAGTTTATTGCATAGAAAATAATGATTGGATAATCTGTCATCGATATATTTATGGTTTCTTAACCGATAAAATGTTATTAGTTTGACATAAAAGTTTTGCCTAAAACCTAAACTAATATTAATATTACTCGTGAGTCGTGGCTAACTGTAAGCTATTATTGGTAATATAGCCAGCTATCGAAGGAATCAAAAAGATTTTATTTAATATGTTAAAACTTAGTATAGTATTAATTATACCGTATTCAACCCTTTTTAACGTCCTTTTTAAAATATTTTTTTTTTAAATTTAAATTTAATAATTTTTAATTAGATGTTATAAAGGGCTCATTATCTTCTTTAAAGTTTTTCATAGTACACGTTCATTAGATGAACATAAACATTTTAAATGTAAATGTCAAATGAAAAATGTTAAAAGTGTCAAAAATTTGTTCAAACCCACAAATTACTCATAATTTTGACACATATATGTGAATTTACATGCTTTTTTGTTATCTATTGTTCGTTAACTGACCATAAGATGGCACTGCAGCATTCTACATCGTTAAATTGATCACTATGAAGATTGATCCACATCCACATTTAAGTGCCAAAAATATGTTCACATTAAAAATATATAACATTGTTACTTATTAATATAATTCAATTAAATTTTCTTATCCATGACTTTAAAGCGTGCCAATTAAGTATTTTTTTATAATGTTATGTAAAATTACTGTTTTTGGTTCATGACCTACCTTACTTTAAATTTTTCAGGTACCCACCGACGACGAAGGTATAACTCAATGGTTATACGATAGATTCATAGAGAAAGATAAAATGTTAGAAGAGTTCTACAGAACCGGTAAATTTCCCTCACAGGGTAACCAAACTTCAAGGCAAGTGAGACAGGATAACCTACGTTACATCATCATACATTTATTTTTTATAGCATCCACATTTTTACAATACAAAATATGGTGTGAAATATGGAGTTACATTTGGTAACAAATTAGATAACGAAATCATTTGGGGGTTAGTCTCCATATTTGTTGTCATAAGTAAAAACATTCAGATTCAACGACGAGAAAATCTACGGTTTTTATAAAATATACGCTACATTTTGAATATAATATAAGAAATTTTGTGAATGTGGATATTTTGAACAGTTAACAGGAAAATGTTAACAATAGATTTGTTTAGTATTAATTTTGTGTTAATATATGTATGTGGTGTTCTAGTTGCTTTGCTTTTTTAACTTAGGAGAGTATTGTAATATCACTGTCTCTCTCAATATATATCGATATGAAAAGGATAAAACACTCGTTATGTTTGTTTTATTATTAGACATAATAGATTATTCGCATTTGGCTAGCTAAACAATTTATGTCACAACGCACTGATGATAAAGAATTAGCATTTAGAAAGTAGAGAATTGAGAGCTTAGCCCTCGTTAATTCTTCTCCGAACATCGTGATGTTGAAGAATAGAGTGCGAAGCTTTCTATTTTTCTTACTTATTTCGTATCACTTTAAAGCTCGAGGTTGCATTTTATCTTTGTTATCAGTGTAAGTGTTGTACAGATGTGAATTGAGTACATTATATCAGCTTTTCCATTAAATAAAATATTAGTTTAATATTTTCGTGATAATGAATCACGATTGAAATGTTAATTGCTTACGAATAACAGATAAACTTTATCAATTAAAACTTTTCACTTTACCGCTATCAGTTATCACTATTTCGATACCTGTAAAGAACAACAACGTAACTCAGTATTACAATATTTTAAAATAGAAATTGATTTTTCATTTACTTATTTAAAGTTTGAATTCAAAAGTGCTATAATATTGAGTTACAATTTTGTTCCTCGCAAGTAACATCCGATATTCAAAACTATCAGAATTTGTTGAAAATATATTTCTTTATTTTTTATTTTTTTATAAAATCCTTCGTTATCTCCATATTAGTTAGTTTAGTGTTGACTAACCGAGCAGATATCGATATTTGTGACGGAGGAACTAAAGTTTAGTTTTTTCAAGCACTATAAATTAGTGAGAGTTTCACACTTTTGTGTAAATCAAATTGTGCTGTGACAAAGAAGTCAATATATAAGTACACTAGCATAGGTCTTGCTTTCGCTATAACAAAATTTTTACACGCAGACAATAAATTACCTTGTAATATTAAAGGTTTTGTGAGAAACGCTTATAACGTGAAAATATGGACGTTTCGATTTTTTTTTCATATATTATTTTATTCGCCTGCCAGAATTTTCAGTTGAACGTCACTAACTCAGTTTTATGGTTCAATATTTTTAAAGTTCAAGCGAAATAAAATTCAGAAACAGATTCGCTATTTGTCACTTTTAACTATTGAATGGGTCGATATTCAGCTTTGGTACTTTACACAAAGTGAATGCGAAAGATCATCGTTTTTAACGATTTTATAACAGTCGAACGGATTTACTAGATATTATTTGCTTCGGCATTTTCACGCTTCACACGGCGTCAGCGTTTCCACGAAAGCAGTCGAAAATCACGTTTCACATTCTGTTTAATCACGTCCCAGCTTCTAAAATAAAATCCAATTTTATACAAAGGAATTTCTGGGGCGTTCACGTTTCTAGAATACTAAAATAAAAACTGTAAATTGGCAACTAATGACAGTGGACTGTTTGACAGCTGTCACTTTGACGTGAGGATGAGTTGCGTGAATAAGGCGTTTGTACATACCGTAGAGCTTATTTCATATAATTCAGATACCAAAAATATTAATAGTAATTATTATAATAAGTAATAATTATTATTACAAAATGAAATTATGATCGCTTTATTTTTTTAACAAAATGAAATTCGCATCCAAGTCGAAAGATTCATCGATCAATATCTAAATTAGTATAAGTCACTATAAGATTTTTACACGTAGATCGTAAGTGTATTGTGATTGTTGTGGGTTCGATGCCCATGCGTCTTTGGAGAGCATTGAAGCCATGCTCTCTGTCCCGCAAAGGGATGGCGTGAAGCTATAAATAAATAACTGGAGCGTTCCTTTCATTATTAGTGTAGAGTTTTTTTGGTGTTCTTGATGTTTGTGGTATGGATAAATTTACTATATGCCAAAATACGTGTACGCCGTAAGTGCCTAAGGCTTTTTGTCAGACATCGGACTATGTTTGCATATTCAAAATACGTATAGATTTTTGTTTAAAACCATAACAATATGGTTGTTAAGTATTTGAATTGGGTCGCCGGTTCAGTTTTCCATAAGCATAATGTGTGTATCAAATTGACAGTACATATAGTCCGATATCTACTCATTTTTGTATTAGCTTAATGTGTGAAATCTATTTGTAATTATTATTTTTCATGGTTGTGTGAGTGAGATAGATATCATCTGCTCTCTCATTTCTGCATATCTTCTACCTGATTACGCGTTAGAAAAATTTCTTCTTTTAGAAGGAAATAATTGTAATATATTTTTTTGTCTGACTTGGAGCAATGTGTGTACGAGGATTTTTAGGGAGTGAAGGCAAAAGGGACTATCTAAAAATCCTAACATTATGCATTATAGAAAATAATAATTATGTTTTTTAAACACTGTTTTTTTCTCTTTGATATATTTAATTACTAAACATAAACTAAATTTTTTAACACTCTAGCACCTATTATTATAATGAATTTTTTTATATTACAATTTGAAATATACGCCACAGATAACCCTCTTTGCCTGTTCTATCCCTTTGGATATCTGAATCTATACACCATGATGTATGGTGTCTATATACCATGTCACGTTATAGAGCTGACTTCATAAGAATGTGTAAAAATATCGTATATACAACGACCGTACTTAAATAATTGAGTGCAATGAAATTGTTAGAAGTATTTGTAATGCTGTATTTGCTTTAAAATTTTTTTCCAGTTCTTCTTTTTCATATAAACACTCGTAACTATTTAATATTCTAACATGCTATCGCGCGATTTAAAAAATCCTTATCCTTAGATATAATTTGATTTTCACCTATTAAATATTCACATCCACTTTTATATTAAAAAAAGTAATTTTACACATGTTTTAACTTTAAATACAACCTTGAATTTCTATATAATATAAGACTAAGTGCAAAAACGGCCTAATCTAAAATAAAATTATACCAAAATAAAATTCCCATGGAAAATTAAACATGTTTAATAATAGATATATAATATTTTTTAAAATTAACAGATCAAATAATTAATAAGCAAATATTTACATTATTAACGATATCACTAGATATTGTTATAATAATCTTTTTTTTTTAATGAAAACGTGGGTTAGGCCGTTTTTGTCTTGGCGGCTTGATATAAATCAAACGTACACGCAACATATTTCCGTGGATGTTAAGTAGTTTTATTTATTAATATGTATAATTAATCAAATTGTCCGACCAAGTTCCTTTATCCATGTGTGCCTTGTAGCTGGAAAGTATTTAAATTATCAATATATTCAATTTCAATCTTAAAATGCATTGGCACTATCACTATAATATTGTAATGGCGAATTAATAAGAAAATCCGAAAGCTACTATACAGGTCAGTTAAAAATGAATTCTCATTGATATATAAAAACATAGATACACATTTCCTGACAAGTATGTCTTCAAAAATTGGCGTCGCCATGTGACATTCAGACAAACCAAAGGATAAAATTCAAAAATTGAAACCATTTGTCTAAACACAAATTCGAACTTACGCACACCACATAAAGTACGTTTTTATACGTGCGTTTTAATTTTGTCATTCGAAAAGCAATAAATAAAAGAGATTTGAAAAAAGCGTATAATTTCGAATTGTGCACTTTTTTTGAAGACACTTTTGATACCCTAATTGTGTTTCTTGAGTTTTTGTATATCAATGTGGATTCTATATTCAATGAGAAAACCTGATGGGTCGCTTTAAATTTGACATAAAAATCTAAGGTATGATTTTTAATATTTCAAGCCTCATATGTATCAGTTTCCATACAAACAATTATAATTTTGATCCGTTCAAAATACGAGTATATGAAATAACTTTTCAGTGTAGCTGCATTTCAGAAAGTTGTTTCATTTTCGGTTAAGTTTATTGCCAATAGTTCTTTTAAATCTAGATTTAGATCTCGACAGATCTGCAATAACTTTTTTTTTGGTATTCTGTTTGTTTTCAGCAAATATGTACAAAACACAAGCATTTTAAGTATTAAAATCACCAACAGTATGCATATAAGCATTTAGAAATTAATTTCTTAACTTTTTTTCGTTGTTTTTCTTTGTGTAATGATAAAATTAGTTCCTTTTTTAAGTTTATGCGAGAATTATTTAATTGAGTGTCTAACTCTAACTTAGGCTCTGTACCAAAAATCTTCAATCTTACACATAAAATAAATAATTGCAAGGAATAATATTGTAATTTGTAACTGTATTACGGTAATTTAAAAAAAAATTATCATTCTATAAAATCATAAATATTATAATATTGTTTTAAACTACTTTTCTGAATTATCAAAAAACTACACGCTTTTCACGTTACATAACGTGTTGTACAGATTTTGGTACGTAAAAAAATTCTCGCATATGGTTTTTTTCCATCTCCTACTTTGTGATTATTTTTAGGATCATTGTTAATTTTTGTTTCAGTTAAGTTTGGATTTTTGTAGTATAATATGTGTGAGGTGCATTTTTGCGTACATTTTTGTATTTTATGTAACATGCTTTATTGTCATATTAGTCTAAGATCCCGATCTGTGTGGTGGACCCCTCACTTTTTACCACACGAAATACATTTTTAAATCATAAAACATATTACAAACATGATCCAGGGGGGTTGTCGCCAAAAATTTGCTCCAAACTATTTTTTATTACTTTTTTTTATCATTATATATTTGATTAAAAAAAATAGTTAAGAAAAATTATCTACATGTTGATACTTGGTTCGTTTCGGAAAACGATATGAGCAATTACTTCAATTTACCTGTTTGTACCTGGATGGTAATGTGTTCGAAAAAGACCGCCAAACGAATGATGGCATTTTCTACAAATCTTACTTTCGATTGATACTAATTTATCGCAGGAAAAGAGTTGTTTTACTTATAAAAAAAGAAAATTTAAATTTTATTTATTTAAAAATAGCCTGAAGCTATTTTTTGGTGACAACCCGTCTGGGTCGTGTTTGTTAATATGTTTTATGGCTTAAAAAATATATTTCGTCTGGAAAAGAGTGAGGGGTCCACCACATAGGTGTATCGGGATCTCCTACTATATTCATTGCCAAGTCCATTTAGTTAAGGAAAATCAGGGGATATTCGTAGCTAGTAATTTTAAATTGTATTTGCACCTTTGTTGGCTAAATGAATTTCTTTTTTTTTTCAAAGATCTTTTTTTATTTTTTTGGGGTCATTCGTATGTAAGTGTCTACGATACAGCTTTTTTTGTAAACCTATTGAGCCATATCGATAATTGATTGCTTCTTAGTCGATTTATGAAGTTTTTAGTCGTATTTTTTTTTAATTTTTCCTCAATATCATCTAAAAGCATATCAAATAGGTATTTCTTTTAAAAAATCTAATGATATATTATAGTTTTATTTTTGCAATCGATTATCGATTTGGGTATTCGGGTACAGCTCTTGTAAATAATATTAAATGTTCTTCAGTTTATCAATAAAGCACATTGTGGCACTTGACTCAACTTGTTTTATTTTCTTGAAAGCTTTTACTTAACTGTACCTATATTAGTAATAATCTAAGAAATTTATCGTTTTTTTATTGGTTTAAGCTCAATTATCTCTGAAAATACTAGTTAGGCCTCAAAAATAATATTTTTTAAATCTATTTCTTGAGGAAAATTATACGCTAATATTACGCTATAAATCTTAGGAGTGCATCAATTATACTAAACTAAATGCGAGCGGAACCGTAAGCAAAAGATATATAAAATATATTTTGTTTTTTTTATTAAACTTTCGTTAGTAATTGATAAATGAATCTTTTTTAATTCTTAAAAAGATTTCTTATCAGTGTGTATATTTGTTCGTTACAATTTATATTTTCTGAACAAACTACACAGAAAAATTGATTTTTTGATAATATAATATGATATAGTTAGATGGTCGTATAATAGATATAAGCTTCATAATTAATTAAGTTATTAACCTTGGTTTCGAACTTAATAAAACTTTTTTCAATTTCTCTTAGAACGTAATAAGTCTATTAAATAGTTATATAGGCACGCAAATATTGTTTTAAAAAGATATTTAAGTTGGTATATTAGTTTGCCCTTTTTTATTTGAGCATTAGGAAAAATACGAAATGTAATGTTTACCTAAAGTCATAATTTCTTCATCTCGTGAATGATTTTTTTATGAAAAAGCTTAAAAATATGACAATTTCTCATCCAATTTTATTAATTGTGAGATAAATATTTGTATACAACACTTCCAGTACAAAATGGTGTAAGTATTTTTAACTGAGACTTGCGAAATCGTCTCAAGTGCAAGCCAAATAGAAACCCTAAATAAACAAGACCCCTTCACATCGAACATCACGTATCTATGTTTGACGAAGACAACAAGATTTCTATGGAAATCTAAAATAAATAGCTTTTCGTGAATTTATTGTAAATCACACGCTTTCGGTGTTGGAAATAGCCTCCCTTTTTCCCCTTTTGGAAGAGTTTTAGGGTCATTTTTCTGTTTAAACTTACTAGTGCTCGTCCAGTGGTCGAAATTCTTTCATAATCATTATTGAAAATTTGATAAAAACCAATTTACCTATATACAAAAGTAACTGTTTTTATTTTGACGACACGTTTCGCTCAGTTTGTAGTGACTCTGCCTGCTATGCCAGCGGTCACGGGTTCGAGTCCCTCTGGGGGCATTCATTTGTGTGATAAGCACGAATGGGTCTGTCCACTGACACAGACTCCAGTCATGGGTATTTATAGTTTATATTTATAATATGTATGTATTTAAGAAGGGGAAGGGGACTTTATTTTATAATATGT